GGTGGGTTCTTTCTCACCCCCACCTCTGGCCTGTACCCCAGTTCTTACATGCATAAATAAATTATTAAAAAAATGTTTTACAAAAAAATATGTTATATATTCAAGAAGCCATGGTTCCCTGAAGAAATAATTTTGCAGTAGAAAACCACACGGTTAAATACCAAATTCACTGTAAAAACTGTTTGAATGAAAATTAAAACCAATGAAGATAGATCGGAAGCTCAATGGTAAGATACAATTCTCAAGCAGGTCAATATATTCATTGCAACACCTACCAAAAGCTCTCCAGGCTTTTTGTAGAAATTCACAAGCTGATTTTAAAATTTACACAAAAATGCACATGACCTAGAATAATGAGAGCAACTTTTAAAAAACCCAAGTTGCAAAACTATCAGTGCCCAAAATCAAAAACTGATTAAAAGCTACATTAACTAAGCAGGTGTGATATTATCACCGGCATCCTATGAAGGTATAATGAAGTTGATAATAAAATTAGCTCCCATCCAGATAATTCTCCTTGCTGCTCCAGCTAACTTCTGATCTTTGTCACCTGCTTAGACTTGCCCTAGCTTCCAGATTTTTCCAGCAGCTCTTTCCCACACCAACACACGTATGCACTAGTATGATATAAGGACAAAAAGATTACGTGGTATTAAACAGAACCTTTAGAAATATGACTGCAGAATTTAGTCTATTAGAAAGGGTGGGGACAGGAGGCCCCATGGTCTAGAGTAAAGGGCTAGGGCTGCCTCTGTGGGAGGTGTGGTGTAGTAGAATACATCTGAAGAGGTGTGAACCTATTCCCCTAAGTTATTTACAGTGTTGTAAAGCCAAAGTTAGGCCTCCTGGTGGTGCAAGGGGTGAAGACACAGCACTATAAGGCTATCCGCAGCCACTGCAGCAAGAGTTCAGTCCCCAGCCAGGGAGCTGACCCACATGGCACAACAGAACTCTCCTGTCTCACCCGCTGCTCCCCTCAGCAGTGTATTTCAGTGGATCTGCCTGTTAGGCTCCCCACTCTTTCTCTGGTGAATCCTCTCAGTCCCCCACGCCCCCTACACCACTAGCCTATACCCCAGTTCCTGAATGCATAAATAAAAAAATCTTTAAAAAATAAATTAAAAACCCATAGTTAGCTCAATTAACATAAGTGCATAAATAAAGGTTAAGTAGTATTACTGACTACCGAGGTTTAGAAAAACAAAGACTTGAACCCTAGTTTATATTTGTTTTGTCCTCATTCTTTTTAATTATTTATTAATCTTTTATTTTTCAGGAGACATCATCCCCAATTTATAGGTGAGCCCCTAGTTACGAAAGACATTTCTGACACCCAATTTATAGATGAGGCCATAGTTACAAAAGACAGTTTTGCTACCTCACTGCACCTCTCCATGGCAACTATTGCTGCCATGGAAACTTCTTGGGAAGTAGAAGAGGGAAAAACAAATGCTGGGGCTTATTCTAGGTTCAGAAACCACAGAATGAAATCAGCTGTGCAAACCATCACTATTTTAGGGGGCCTGATTAGAAGAGATGCCCCAGCAACTGAGCCTATTTGTAAAATAACCACTGTGACCCTATATTTTCCTATCCTAGCTGAAAATTTTCCTTTACATTTGCAAGTCTTCTGACTTCATGCAAATCAAAGATTCATTTATTCATTTGAATTAATGAGCATCTTCTTTTAACAATGAAAACAACACTCAACCGGCTAAAGTCACTGCTATAACTAAATTCTGTTAAACACTTTCAACAAAGCCCTAGTGAAAGTCAGTTACACTGAATAAAGATGAAATGGGTACGCAGGAAAGTCAAGTAAACTTGGAAACTGCACTGCTTGAAGAATGCTTAGAGCAGCATGAGCTTGTATAATGGGAGCCAGGAATGGAGGCATCAGGGGAATAAAGTGAAGAGAAAATGGATGTAAATAGTTGGTCAGCAACAGAGGGACACCCACAAAAAGGATGGTCACACGCCCACTGTATGGTCATTTCTTTAAAAAGTGACCACTAAGCTCTATTGCAAAGAAAATATTCCAGGTATGTCAGCTGAAGAAGGCAAGAGACATCAGAAGGAAATGTCAGAGATGGCAATGAAAACTTCACGTAGCTGAATAGTGAGCTACAATTGGCTGAAGAGTCTTCCTCTTTTCCTTCTTACATTCTGATTTCAAAGACTCAGCATCAGGTTTGTTTGTAACTATTGTATTTCCAGTATAAAATGCCTATGGTCTAGCAAACGCTGAACATATACTTGTGGTTTACAGCATTGTTCCTAGAGAGGAGAGCTGGAACAGCCTCAATATTCAATTTTAAAAATGAAATTTTGATCATAAATTGGAGTATACGTATACATAAATTGGACGTATACCCTACGTATACATCAGGTAACAATGACTAAAAATTCACAAGACCCAATGATTTACAGGGTACCCAGGACTATCCCTGTGTCTAGGAAAAGAAAAAGAACACCTGATAAACTCATGGCAATGTCCAGTATTCCTCTTTATAAATAGTAATTGGGGGCCCTCCCTGGTGGCACAATGGATTAGAGCGCAGCACTGCAAGCTGGCCGCAGCTGCCTCAGTGCTAGTTCAAAGTTCCATCCCGGCCCCAGAGCTGACCCACATGGCGCGGCAGACCTCTCCTGACCCACCCATTGCTACCCTCAGCAGTGTACTTCTTCGATCTGCCTGTTCTGCTCCCCACTCTGTCTCTGGTGAAGCCTCTCACTGCCCCTGCACCTCTGGCCTGTACCCAGTTCTGTATGCAGAAATAAATAAACCTTAAAAACAAAAATTGCTGGGTCTGCAGGCACCCTGAATAAAGATTTGCTGGCTCCCTGTGAGACCACGTGACTGATTATTGGCCAGCAGAACATGGGCAGCTCATTAGGGTGCCCTTAAGAGGGGATTTGTCCGGCCTTTCCCTTATCCTTTTCCACCTTCCCATGGGCTGGCAGGAGAATTACTGAGGGACAATTTGAATAGCATAGCAAAACTAAGAACCCTCTTGGTTTCGTGGGGCAAACTCAATACCAGCTGAGACTTTGACACAATAGAGAATTCAGCTTCTGTCTGGTTTGAGTCGCTTTATCTGAGTCCCATATCACCAAACCTGTATATTCACTGATTTTCCTCATTGTCCTGCTTTACTTCCCAACATACACCTGCAGGCATTTCTACTCTGACTCAAATAGTTTTTCATGTTGTCCTTTAGTGAAGAGGATTTTGTCCACTTCCAGCCAACAGTTAGTCTATCATGGAAAATATATCTGGTATGAAAGTAACTTGGACAACCATCATTACTTCTAATTTTAAGAAATGAGTTACCAGACCACGAATACTGATGTAGATTTTTATTATTTTACTATTTAAAATGTTTAATCCTAAAATTCATTAATTTTGGATAAAAACTAACCATATGTTTATTTTTATATATTATATACACGAGAAATAAATAGTGTTCTAAGCGTTTAAAAAAAAAGCATCACTATATACATATCGGGCTTCAAGCCAAATGTATAAATACAGGATCCACTGAGAATTCAATTCCCAAAGCTTCAAGCACTAGAAACAGAAGTCCGAAGTACCCAGGATGCACAGTCAATAACACAAGCTCCGCTTCGGCCAGAGAGAAATCGCAGAAGAAACAGGAAAAGCGTACAACTGAATTGAAAAATCCCTTGAATAGGAACGTGACTGGTTATATGTTTAGCAATTTGGCATTGAACAATGACACAGCCTTGGCACAACACAGATTAAAACAACATCCTTTAAAAACCTAGGTAGAAAGAAAATTGTCTCCCTCCAACTGACAGCATGTCTCCTTCCAAATAATCCCATTTATGAAAAAAAACAACCCCTCGGCACCATTGTTCTACTGGTTATATATTAATTAAAAAGTTTAGGGTTTTATGGACGATTCTGAAAAAATATTTGTTTTTCACTGCTGGGTATACTGATGATTGAGCACACCACGACCTCTGCCTCCAGGAAATCTGGGTCCTCAGCCTACCTCAGCCTACCTAGGCCTACCTCAGCCTACCTCCACTACCAACTTGCTATATAATTCCAGGCAAGGAGCTGAGCTAAGTCTTGGTTTTGTAAAATAAAGAGAACAGTTTTCCTGTTCACCTTCTGTTAGGAGTCTCTAATTAGGTGATGCATATACAAATTTTCTAAAAAATAGAAAAGAATTTGTCAAACGCCTTATATTTTCATTCAAATCACAACTTAGAACTGGAGGCATTTCCAGAAATTTAATACAGAAAAGGCACTGGTGTTAGAACAAGATATGCCAGAGAGGAAAAAACGCTGTATTCAATCTTAGCACCAGTTCTGTTTGATGGTGCTGGTTTCTGTGTAAGTAGGCATGTGTAAGTAACATAAGTAAAACCCTCCATTCTCCAAAACAGCAGTGATTTTACTCCAAAGCAACCATGTTCAGCAACTAGCCATCATTTTGGTTCCTGGTACATACGACAATTTACTTGCTACTTCATTGGTGATCAAACATGTCACTCAGAAGAAATAGCCATGTTAAGTAAGGCAGTGCCCTTCCTGCCTTTCCTCCCATGTATATTCAGGCAGAAATCTTGGCCTCTTTAGATTCCAAATGGAGTCTGTAAAGTTTTGGTATTGCAGTTAATGGCACATTCTAAGAAATTTCAAGTGCTCACCAAGCATTTGTCCTATCCAAAAGTGAACAATGGAAAAGTTTTAAAGCCAATGATGTGTGCTTTAGAGAATGAGTTGGGGACCGGACAGAGTATTGGGAAAGCAACCAGTATTGATCAGTGCAGCCCACTGAACCCTAACAATGAGGGCCTCGGCACCCCGGACCTACTCTCACCTCTCTGGGTAGCAATGCCACAGGTCTGTCATCCTGGGCCAGGTCTGAAAAACATGGCTCAAGGCAGGCCAGTAGCTGGCTCCTCTGCATAGTCACTGCAGAGAAGAGTAAGCCCAGGGTCACCAGCAGGGTGGGCACAAGAGGTGGCCGTCAGCCCTCTGTGTAACCCTCGAGTCAGCACTAGTCTAGAGTAGCGGGAACTACCCCAGGGAAGGTCCCCTCCCTTGAGCAGCCCCAGCCATCCTGGGAGGCCCAGGTCTGGACCCAGCACGCCACTGCTTCCAATTGCTGCAGGGTCAAGGCCAAGGTTCTTCCATCAGGTGGGCCCTTGCCATAGTCTTCTCCATGTGCTTGGAAGGAGTCAAGTGCTGCCAGGCACCCTCAGGCAAGTGTCCAGGTCGGACTGAAAGAAGCAAGAGAGTGTGGCCTTCGTTAGCTTCCATCACAAGCTATTGAGTGCCTGCTCTGTTTAGCCCAAGACCAAACTTTCTTACCTATCAAACGCTTTACTTGCTTCCCTTTCAGCATAAATAATATCCCAAGATTTTTCTCTCCCTCACCCATACAAGCCACAGATTCACCTGGAGAACCACTACACTGGAGCTCTCTCTGGTCCTAGTTCCAGGCACCACAGGCCTGGTAGATATTTATCAACACCCACTGAAACATGCACACAGTGTGTGCACACACATACACACACAGTTGTGGGCAGAACCTTGAGTCCCCTGTGCCTTGATCTAGATTTGCAAGAGAGACTGCTGAGTCGTAGGAAGGAGGTGAGACGGAATCAAGAGATCTTAATTTCAGTCCCGCCAACTGAAGTCTACCAACTGAAATTCTTTGAACCTCCAGCTCCTTATCAACAAATAGGTAGTGAATAGCATCCAGGTAGGGAGAGAGATGGCTGAAGGCATGCTGTGTGGCCACGGGTTCCCAGAGCCTCTGTATTAATTTGTTACTTGGGCTCCTATTGTTTTCTGTTTGGGGCGGGGGAGGGGGGAGAGGATAGACTTTTATTCTTCCAAGAGGTGATAATATGGGGTGATTTCGATCATTCTCAACTGTTACAAAGTTCTGGAGCAGAAAAATAGACTATCTTATCATAAGGATAATTATAAGAACGGCAGTCTTTCCCAGGTGTGTCCAATCGGCATGGCTGTTCAGACGATTGATGAAGGCAATAGAAGGTATAAATTTGAACACAGACACTAAGAATTCAAATGACTATTACAGTGGAAAATCTTGAGCCCTCACTAGACTGAGTCGCTTAATTAAATGGGCAGTTCTCAGACTCCCACAAGCCCTGTGATCACCGAGCTTGTGGTGGAGGGGAGGGTCCCCAACACGAGACTGAGCAGCAGAAAGGTGCCTGGCCCCCAAGGTTGGCAGACAGTTAATCACAAGGGACCCCAGCCTGGGCACAGCTGCTTAACAATTGCTACCCAGACTGAAACACAGTGATTATCTAAGTGTGTGGACTTGCCAGGGCTAAGAAGGGGCACAGGCTTCAGAGCAGACTCACCTGCTCTGGACCTTCTACTGCCACCTCCAGCTGAGGGATCCTGGAAAGAGTGACCCCACTCCCAGTCTCAGGTTCCCCAACTGCACACAGGGTTACAGACACCTGCGCCATGGAGCTGATTATTAAAGTAAACGAAACGGTGCGGTGGGCATGCGTTACATACAACAGCACTGCTGCCCAGGACCTTGATTGGGCACAGAATTGGGGGCAGGTGGGGGTCACAGGGTGTGTGGCAGCTTTCCTTTTCAGATGCACCACTCTGAGAGCAACAGTCCTCAATTCCGCATTAATCGGACTCCCTCTTGGGGAAATGGGATGCTGAAGCAAGACAACCCTGTTATCTGAGTCAGCCCCACACAGGGGCATTCCTGCTTCTCAAAAGAGAGAGGGCTGGGCCTCTCTGGTAGTGCAGGGGATAAAGTCTCACTGCTATCAAGCTATCGCCAACCACTGAGGCATGAGTTTAGTCCCCAGCCCGAGAGCTGACTCACATGGCCCAGAAGACCTCTCCTGACATGCCTGCTGTTCCCCTCTGAAGTGGATTTCCATAGATCCGCCTGTTCTGCTCCCCACTCTGTCTCTGGTGAATCGCCCCCTGCAACCCACAACCCTGTGGCCTAGACCCCAGCTCTTATATGCATAAATATATATTAAAGGAAAAAAAAAAAAAAGAGGGCCTCCCTCATGGTGCAAAGGGTTAAAGCAAAGCACTACAAAGCTACCTGCAGTGCTTCAGCATGAATTCAATCCCTGACCAGGGAGTGACCCACATAGAGCAGCAGACTTCTCCTGTCTTCCCTCCTGCTGCTCCTCTCAGCAGTGTGCTTTATCAATTTGCCTGTTCTGCTCCCCACTCTGCCTCTGGTGGATCCTCTCACCGCCCCTGTACCTCTGGCCTGTACCCCAGTTCTGTATGCACAAATAAATAAATCTTTAAAAAAAATGATGGAAGACAGTCTCTAATGTAACTCACAAAACCTGGGTTCCAGAGCATCTCACATGGGGACTACACCTTGTGCTTTTCCTTTAGCACTCGACTCCCCACACTGCCTGGTGCCCAGAAGGACACTGGGAGCCCTGGAACCTTCCCACACCCCACCACTACAGAGAAGCTGATTCTAAGATGGGGGCTTGGGCACCACCCCCGGGACGCAGCCTCCAAAAAACCCCACTTCAGCGCGGCTTCAGGCTGGGACAACTCTCAGTGAGGACGGGCAGAGGCAAAGGCACCTGACACCTCCAGTCTCCCACATAACTGATTTTCTGTCTCCTGACGCCAGAAGGTGAGCTTCCAAAGGAAGAGATTTCTACCCATGTCCTTGCTGCTTTGCCCTGAGCCCAGACTCACAACCAGCCCATGCGACGTGACCTGCCAACATAGGAGAAAGCACCAGTTACCTGGACTCATTTTTCGTTCTCCAGCCATCCCGGCACTTGTGAAACCAGAGCTCTTGGCCAGGGGATATGCTGGTGTGCTCAAGGTCTTCGACACAAAACGTCAGCCTAGGAGGAGAAAGAAACCATCGTTGCAGACAAAACCCTGGGGGAGGGCAGTGCAGTGTGTCAGCCAGGAAGCCGTGAGGTGGACAGAGCAAGGGGCAGAGAGTGGACTTCACGGCACCTCACTCCGATTCCAGAGCCTGCAGAACTCCTGGACAGTGTGGCTACAATCTCCCTAAGCCGAGGCTCAGTTTGGTCTTCCAGGATTCAGCTCACACAGCTTTTAATCCCACCTCTAGCCCCTTCTCTCTGCCCATCCCAAAGTCTGCCCTGCCAGTCTCTCTAAAGCCTCCCTGGCCATCCCCATCCCCAGGCCATTTTAATCTAACCTTCCCTTGACTTCTGCATTTCATTAAAAAAATTCATATCCTGGGCCCTCCCTGGTGGTGCACAGGTCAAAACACAGCATAAGAAGCTATCGAAGCCACTGCAACACAAGTTTGATCACCGCCCAGGGTGCACACACATGGCATGGCAGACCTCTCCTGGCCCGCCCGCTGCTCCCCTCAGCAGTGTATTTCAGTCCATCTTCCTGCTCTGCTCCCCACTCAGTTACTGAATCCTCTCACCCTCCACACTTCTGGCCTGTACCCCAGTTCTGTATGCATAAATAAATCTTTAAAAAAAAAATCATATCCCTACATAAATGTTGCTTTGTGACTGTTATTACTTCTTATGGTGTGGAATCGATAATGAATTGTTTTGTCTTACTTTAGCACATCATATACTAATTGTGTGGATGGACATATCGTTGGGGAACTATAAGTTCATGGGGTAGAGGTGCTCAAGGCACCTCCAGTACAGTGGTCAGTGGAACCCAGCTGCAAGTCCAAGTGAAGGATCAGCAAATACACACCCTTTATCACAGAAAGTCAGTGGTCTAATTACTGTTCCAACTATTGCCCAAATGAGTTGGGTGGCCCCAGCCTGGTGGTCTGGGGAACAGCTGGCCTTGATGCGGACCAGCAGGGCAAAAGTCACATTCAGAACATCTTTGAGAACCTTGGGAAGCCCAAACAGCCAACTTCATTCAAAGCACAGTAAGTGCTTGCACTTATAAGCACCAGAGAAAGAAAATAGACACCAGTTCTAGATCAGTCTCATTTCTAACATTCCCATAGCTGACACCCCCAGTTCTGAGGTTTCTATACCAGGATCACTCAGAGGAGGACCCAAGCCTCCACTCTCCACTCCTGGAACCAAACTTTGCCACAGGTGATGGAACAGAACACATGAAGAACTGTAACACCGAAAATGCCCGATGAGGTGTAGGGGGCTGGAGGCAGCTTCTCACCAGCCCCAGCCTGGCAGCAGCCTCCCAGAGGTATGCCAAAGAAGAGGAGCACTTGACAAAAGCCTCCCTGCCTTCCCTGCATTTACTTAGAAAGAAGGCTGCTCAAAGACTCAGGTCACAGTTTTAGGGACTCACATATAAAGGCCTGGATTTTTCATGCTGCGTTGGGGTTAAAAGATCTGGAGAAGCTGCCAGCTGGCAGAACACAGGAGATTCTGTTATTTGATCTTAAGACCCCTGCCCTGAATGCTTGATTCAGAGCCTCTGAAGGAGAGCTAGAATGCTCTGAAAATACGATACCAGTGCCCCCAGCAGACCTGGTGCCCGGGGCTTCCCTGGATTTGAGACTCTGGTTTGCTCTGGACAGGATCAGGGAGACCAGTGGCACAGACCCAGAGCGAGCAAACCAGCCAGGCAGTGCTCCTGAAGAGCAAAAGCTCTCCGCCTGCAGGCGAATGCAGAGCCTGACAAAGTCCTGGATTCCAGTGCTCCCTTGCCCACCCCTATCAGCCACAGCTGTGGTCAGGACTCAGGTTGCTCAGCAGCTAACAGAGCTTTACCTGGAGTTCTCTTCACCCCACAAAGGTAGCTAAGCTTCTGCCCATATGTCCTGCAGCGGAAGGACAAAGATGCAGGCTCAGTGAAGGAAAGGACACACAGGAGCACTGCTCTTTGCTCACCAGCGACAAGGGGGGAAAAGTCAAGACCTAAAGGGCACTTACTTCTGCTGGGTTTCCCCAGACTTGACTCGGATGCGCCTGATGTTCAGCTCCTTCTGGGAGTTAAGAGGCTGAGACAGTAAGTTGCTAAGTTCCTTCAACAGGTCGTACCAGGACTCAGAGACTGGCTGCTCCCAGGTGAGCTTGATCTTCAAAAGGTCACCCAGGTCCTCCTCGGTGTAGACCAGGAAGGTATTGGTGGCATTCAGCCCAATCTGCTCCACGCTACAAGGTGAGACGCAGCTGAGCTCAGTTCCCGGCTCCACAGAGAGTGGAAAGGACCCAGCCGAGGACTGCCCACCTCGGGCTCTCCACGCCCACCCCCCAGGCCAGGTAGAAGCTCAGCCACGCCCCATACTAAGAGGTAACTTTGCCCACAGTACCCCAGTGTCTGATCAAAACCATCTCGGAGGCCCTCCCTGGTGGTGCAGCGGGTTAAAGCACAGCACAAAGACGCTTAAGCCACTTCCGCATGAGTTCGATCCCCGCCTGCCCCCGGAGGTGACCACGTGGAGTGGCAGACCTCTCCTGACCCGCCCGCTGCTCCCCTCAGCAGCGTACTTCGTCGATCTGCCTGTTCTGCTCCCCAGTCTGTCTCTGGTGAATCCTTTCACCCTCCACATCTCTGGCCTATACCCCAGTTCTGTATGAATAATAAAATCTTTTTTTTAATAAATAAATAAACCATTTCTGAGTATCGCCCTATTTATGCAGCTGTCTCCCTGGGAACCACTGGCCCCTCCTGCTGTCCCTCCCATTTGGCACATGGCGGGGCCTGCCTGGTCAGTTTGTCTCATGAGCATGTACATGGAGATCTGGTCTCCCAGCCAGACCCTGAGCCCTGGAACCAAGTACTCTGATGACATTACTTGTATTTCCTGATATTGCCTGGCACTTAGTAGCTCGGGACTACAAATTCTTACTGACTGCTACGTACCCTCGCACATTTTGGAAATGGTCCAGGGATGACAACATTCCAAATTTCCTAAAGCCTCAGGTGTCAGGCGTTGTCTGAAATGAGCCAGCAGTTTCTGCCCAGCTGCTCCAGCAGCTTTTCACACTGCTGAATCATCCTAGGACCTTCCCTCCTAGAAGGTTCTGAGCCAAGGACTTGGTGGGGGTGGGGAAGGGAGCACAGGACAGGAGAAAGGCACGAGGCCTGAGGGCACCACCTAGCCCCTCCCCGGGAGGCTGGCTACACCCCTGCACTTGCTCACACGCTCCACGCTGCTCTCTCCTCAAACCAATGTACTCTCTGCCTGGAGCCCAGCAAAGCAAGCTCATGACTTACATTTCCAAAGGCAGAATCTGCGAATCTGAGTTGGTGCCATAGAGGGTGACATAAAAGCTGGGCTTGATTTTTGCCACGTTCTTATAGTTGAAGATATGGATTTTCATTTGATAGTGGTAAACTGCAGAGACAGCAGAACAAAGACATTTGAACAAAGACCTGTGCATCATCTCAGGGCCCCCTGACCCATGCCGGAACTGCCACCCCTTAGATCCAGCAGGACCTCCTGTCTCCAAAGGCCGGTGACAGCAATGGTTGCAGAAATCTATCTAGAAGTGGAACTGGGACATTGGGATTAAGGAGAACTTTAGGGGATGGCGGCAGAGCTGCTCTCTAGCTGCTTGATCTTGAATTAGGGGCCAAGGCATTAGCCTCAACTTGTCCACATGTAAAATAGCCCCCACAAAACCCACAAAATCTTATGTTTTACAATACATTATTAAAAAGCAAGATATCAGGGCCCTCCCTGGTGGCGCAGCGGGTTAAAGCACTGCACTGAGAAGCTAAAGCCACTTCCGCATGAGTTCGATTCCCGCCTGCCGCCTGCCTCGGAGGAGACCACATGGCGAGCCAGACCTCTCCTGACCCGCCCGCTGCTCCCCTCAGCAGTGTACTTCGTAGATCTGCCTGTTCTGCTCCCCACTCTGTCTCTGGTGAAGCCTCTCACCGCCCCTGAGCCTCTGGCCTGTACCCCAGTTCTGTATGTACAAATAAATAAATCTTTAAAAAAAAAAAAAAAAAAAAAAAGCAAGATATCATATCCATCCCCTGTCGGGCCTACCTCAGATGTATTGTGACAATCAAATGAGAAAACAAATATGAGACAATCGTGAGAAGCTCAACATAAGATGGAATTTAAGATACTGATAGCATGGAGTGATGATCAACCTCACAAAAGGAGCCCCCTCCCCATTTATTTTCAAAGATGGACTTCCCAGGGTGAGCACAACACAGTCTGGTTTGCAATGATTTAACTGTGCCAGCCACACCTCCCACAGGGATGTGCCTTGTTCTGCAACATGGTATTTAGAGGAGGCAAGAGAGGAAAGTCTTGCTCATGTGGTCTGAGAACTACCTCTGAAAGGCATGCCTGCCCGGGTTTTTAAGTACATCTTGCAGTTCTTCTTGTTGCTCATCTTCTTAGCATTATAGCCAATGCTGTTACAACGGTTCTTCCGGCAGCTGAGACAGATCCCCTTTTTGAAGCGGTTCGAGTCTGTGCACTGAAATGCAAAGCTTGGCTTGTCCTGATTCACCAGGGAGTCAACAAAGAGGTGAATGGCTCGCTCATGTTCACACTTCATCTTCTCAGTAATTGCTGCAGAAAAGAGACCACATACGCGCTCAGCCACCTCTCCAGGATTCAGGCAATGAGTACACTCATCGATGATGCTGTTTTTTACTTTATTATTGCTGTTTGTATCATTCTCAATACATGCCCCGTGACAGACTGGGCTCCCAGGAGGATGTAAAATTAAAGACCATCCTGCTCGCTCCCCAGGTGAGAAGATAGCACTCATACACACCCCGCAGCGAAGAGCAAGAGTGAGCATACAATGAGTACTAAACAGGGTGATGAAGACCAGTTGTTAGGAGTGACTTGGTTCTGACTAGGCTGTCAGATCACAAGATGCTAGAAACAGATCAGAGGCTAAACTTCATCTAGTCCGGGCTCAGTGAGTCATAGCTTGCAGACTGGCTGCCTGTTTTCAAGTATTGTTTATTTATTATGAAATACTGTGTATTTCATGTTCCAACAGAGTGGTGTACTTGAAACAGAGACTGTATGTTCTGAAAAGACTAAGATATTTCCTAGATGGCCCTTTAAGAAAATGTTTGCCAACTCCATTCTTCTGGACCAGTCCTTAATTATAGGTTATGACCCAAATGTCCACAGTAACTTGTTTGGTCACACAATCTGTTGGTTGCAATGTCAGAATATAACTGGGGTTTTTTCTGGCCCATGATATATCATTTCTTGTACCAGAAGTGAAAGTCAATAGTTCGAATACACCCTAGGCCCCTAAGAAAAATTCTGCCATGCTATACCCACCACTTCCTTACTAATACCACCATCCTTAAGAAATGCATTTATCACATGCCCTGAGGCAGTCAGGGTTGAACAATCCCTTTCACAGACTTCACATCCTATGGGGCTACTTGGCTGTGATGGTGTTGGGAGAGGGCAGCAATCTTAAGACTGAGAGACAGAGAGGAACATCCAAAGGGCAGAGCTGCCCAGTGGACAGCGCTGACAGGGTCCGTGAATCTAAACTGCTGCGTGAGTCAGGGGTAGTAGGTAAGGAGAGCTATATGCTCTGATAGTTAAGAATGCCCATTATATGATATAACTAATAAAGGAAGGCTGCAAAACAACGAAACAAATGATTTTTCACACACACATAAATGCAAAGAAAAAAAGACTGTAAGACACACACACAATTGTTCAAATCAGCTATTCCTGAAGAGTACTCCTGAAGCAGGAGCAGAAGTAGGAGGTGAGAGAGGATGTTTTACTTTTGGCTTTATGCAATCCTATATTGCCTGATTTCTTTCAACAAACATATGTTCCTTTTGTTATAAAATAAATTAATAGTAACAAAAGAAATTAACAGCAATAATTTATAGAGTTCATATGACATATTAAGTGATTAAGTACTTGTGACCTCAGAGCATGAGAAAACAAAACAGATGGTTAATAGACTCTAGAATGATGAAGAACAGCAAACACAGGGCTGATGAACAACAACTTCTGAGGGACCCCAAAAGTTTTATCTGATTTAGGAGATGTGATAACTGAGTCAAACCTCTCCAATGAAGCACAAAAATAAGGAACTCACTTCCATCTGTAATGGCCCCAAAGAGATCATTCAGCCCACAGCCCGGCTGGAAGTCACCCCCGTTGGGGTAGATGTCTATGTGGCCCACAGGCATCTGAATCCCGATGCTCAAGCCAAGGGAGCATGTGTAGGTGTGGAGGACATCCACAAAGTCTGCATCGTCAGGGGAAAGCCTCTTGTGAATGTTCGCCCCTTCAAACAGGGGGCCAGCAGGGTCCAAACCTAAAGCAGAAGGGGAGCCAAGACCATCTGTCAGGTGAACCACGTCAGGGAGTCCTGATTTTAAGTCAAGTCAGGTGTGCAGAATGAAGGCGACCCGGGAGCCCAGCCCCAAGGAGCCCACAGTCAAGGAACTGACACTCTTCCAAAGCCAGTGCTTGTCCTGCTGCCTCAGCCGACTGGGAAAAGCAGCCACGAGCGTCAACTTCTGCACTCAAGGAACCACGAATGGTCAAACTGGGGTGGTGGTAGAGAGAACTCAGCTGGCTGAGACTAAGCCATTCATCCTATTTACTCGGCCACAGAGAGCCTTCCAGATCAACAACGCTCCTGCGCCTTCTGGAGTGAAGACTTAGTCCCCCCCAAACTGAGCTGTTTGTATTTGGGCTCCCCCCCCCTCCCTTGAGTTCGAATCACACCTCAGGTGGGACAGTGAGAGTGGGGAGCGTGCAGGAGACACTGTGACCCCACAGCCCAGGCCTCGGGATTCCTCTATTTTTTTTTTTTAAAGATTTATTTATTGTGCACACAGAACTGGGGTACAGGCCAGAGACAGAGCGGGGAACAGAACAGGCAGATGGAGGAAGTACACTGCTGAGGGGAGCAGCGGGCGGGTCAGGAGAGGTCTGCCACGCCATGTGGTCACCTCCGGGGCAGGCGGGAATTGAACTCATGCGGAAGCGGCTCTAGATTCTCAGTGCTGTGCTTTAACCCGCTGCGCCACCAGGGAGGGCCGGGATTCCTCTATTTTATAGCCACAAAGAATTAACCTTTTTTTGCCTGCAAACTTTTGGCACAGGAAGCAGCACTGTAGAGAACACTGGCTCTCACACTTAAAACTGCATAAATATCTCCCAGCAGCTTGAATAGGACCCCACTCTGCAGCTATAAAAAACCTGGAAGGACACGCCGGCCGCTGCTTACCTGTGCTTGTGGGGGAAGGTAGGAAAGGCAGGAAACGGGGCAGGCGGTGGCAGCAGTAAGAGAGGTGGTCACTGTTTTAATTTGGGAGCCACATGAGCCACATTCGAAAGGTGGAAGCGTAACAAGGAGATTTCCTGGCCCCTGAGAGATTCTCATCTGGTGTAGAGCCCAGAAACACATATTGAGTCCCCACGGTAATTCTAAAAGTGAGTGGGCTGAGGCCCAGATTTCAAAAATCATCTCCATGCTTCAGAGTCACCCGTAAAAAAGAATCTAAATGTCTTCATTCATGTAGCTCATGTGACATAGTAAGTGATTATGTGCTTCTCAATGCAAATTCTAGCGACTATTACCAAGCCCAAGTGGTTATGGGAACTGGATGCACCCCAAACCAGAAGGCTCTGTGTCCTGCAGACAGGGAGGGAGGACCTCGAAAAGACCACATGTAGCAGAGAAAGGGGTCTGTTTAGTCTAGACTAGAGTGTCTCAACTGGTAATGAATTTGCTCCTAAATGAACAAAGCCCTGAAGAGAAGCTACTAGCATCTGTGGGCTAGTGGAAATATCCTATACATGCAGGCCATCTCCCACAACAAAGCATCATCTGAACAGGTTCGGATGTCCTCATCTAGAGACACCACGGCAGGAAGAGAAGCAACCAAGAGCACAGAAAGGTGAGTAATAGATCCGTACCAGCAGCCTCAACCCCAGCACCAGGAAGCCATCAGAGGTAACACAGACCTATCACCCAGCCTGCAGAGTAAACTTGTGGAACCCACTGCTCATGGAACAGGTAGTGGCTGAACTCAACTCTAGCTTCCAGAAAAAGTTTAAATGAAAGTTACATATGAACGAGGCAAAAAGAGCCTGGGCTGCTTGGGGGCTCATCCCTAGCCCAGAACCCCCAAGAACAAGGGCACCAAAATAGGGTCCTCCCAAAGAGCCCGGGATGACTCATTTTAGAGGCTGCGAGGACAACAGACGTGGCAAGCAGCCTCTCCCGGCCCCTCGTCAACATTCTGCTCTGCAATCTATACAGGAGTGGAGCTCTTGGCTGGGTGGGAACAAAAGTCTCCACCAGACGGTCAGTGTCATGGAAACCAAGTTGTGCGGGAGGAATGCAGGCCGCCCGGCTTCTGGACAGGCCCCCAACAGACAGGCCAAGCCTTCACCTACCAGACAGAGCTGCCTGCCACATCTCCACGGTCTGCAGACTCTGGGAAAAAATTGCACCATTTACCTTTTGGGATGGGAGGGAGAACTTAGCTCCTCCAAAAAAAGGAAAGATCTAGAACCAGACCTTCCCCTCTTCGTTGAGTCCAACTCCTCCAAAGGGTTTGTGCCCAGGAAAGGGAGATCACACGCATGTACACAGGTGCACACACAGGTGTACACATGTGGGAAACCCTCTGGGGCTGTGCACCGACCCTGAAGGATCAGTCCCTTAACTCCTCCAGCAGAGGAGCAGTGGTGCCAGGACTGGCCTCAGGCCCTGGACCTGACAGCCCGGTTCTTCCACTCAAGGGATGAGATGTCAGGCCTGTGGTTTATCCCTGAAATCTGGTTTCCACAAGTAAAATGAAGCCCAAAGCAGCCCTTTGGCCAGTTGCTATGTCGCTTAGAGAGGGAAGCGTAGACACTTGCTGTTAGGCAGCATCAAGCCCAGAACTTGTACAAAGTGGACACTTACTTCATATTTCTTAGAAAGATGAATGGCCTTGCTTATTTATTTAGAACTCACTGGACACAAGTTGAGTAAGAAATACATGACCACTTCGCCAGTATATCACTGAATTCTCTGAGAAGCGTAAGAAGATAAAACTGGCAAACTCTGGCCCACAACCCTCTGATCCAAGCAAGGTTGGGGTTCAGATATCCCCCTCCTGCAGCCCTGCGATAAGGACCCCTGCTGGCATGTGCACAGAAGCATCACTGGCCTGGGAATCCCAAGCAAGCTGCAGTCTCCAGTCCTCTTACCAGCTGGGAGCAGCTGGTCGCCAGGCCTATGGGGACTTCTTCAGCAGAGAGGAGGAGAGTTCACAGCCTTCCCCACCCACACACTTGGCAGTCTTGGTCTGAGTGACTCTGGCTAGAGGCTGCTCGACTCTCTGGCTAGAGGCTGCTCCTTCCTGCCTCACTCACCCCAGGCTCCTGCTCCACAGAGGAAGGTGAGGAAGGGTTGCTCTAAGAGCAAGCAGGCCCCATGCTCGTGCAAGCAGCTCAGAGCACTGATTAGCATTCTGCCAGCAAAGCCACGTCCCAGGGCTGCCTCCCAAGCAGGCAGAGAGAAAGCACTGAAAAGTGCCTTGCCGCCCCATCTCGTTTCAGATTCAGAAATCCAGGAGAGAGATCTGCAGCTTGTTGCAGGCCAACCAGGCTCTGGGCCCTGGTGTTCCAGTGGGGCCTTCCACGTGCTATAGTCTGAAGCTGCCTGGCTTGAATGTGTCCTGTTGGGGGCTGGAGGAGGTGTCAGACAATCGGGCCCTGCAGTAGGTTAATGAACAGCCGTATGAAGCCACAAAATCAATGCCGTTTACACAGTTCAGGCCCAGAGTCTTGATAATCAGAAATAGAGTTTTCAAGAGATGGCAAATCAAAGAGATCTAGAGAGGAGAGACAGAGAGAGAGAGTAAAAAAAAAAAAAAAAAGACAGGAAGAAAGGAGAGAACACCAGACTACCAGACTTAGGAAGAAGAATAAAGATTGAGGACACTCTTTATAGCCTGTGAACCCTTATATATGCAATGGAGGGTCCCCAAAATGGGAATATTTCCCACTTTTTAGAATCACTAAGTGATTTAATCCAAATTCTCACAGACAAAGCTCACTGGGATGAAAAGTTCAATTTTCTATTGACAGCTTAGGTACCTCTCCCAGTAAGTTTTTTTCCTTTAATGACAAAGTTTAAACACTCATTCTAATTAGATAATAATCACTAATAAATGTGCTAACTAAACATTAGAAAGAGGCCTTTGGTAGGAAAAGAAACGCAGAGGCTGAATAACTCCAACTAGAATCCACCATTCTTTTTTTTCCCCTTGAGTGAGGCCCTGAAATGTCATGGACAGAGGCCAGCAGGGAAGCCCAGAAGCTTGTGGCCAGGGCTGCACCCCAGTCTGCCCTTTCATTATCTGGTGTCTCCTCACCATCAGACTAAACAGAAGGTTTCAAACTGTGTTCCCTGGTGCTCTAGTGCCCCAGTGTTCCTCCAGAGAAAGGGAAGTTCCATTAGCAAGATCAGCACATGCACCAACCACATACCCAGCTTCAACCAGACCTCTTCTATGACTTCTATATTCTGGAGCCCTGTGTGAGTTCAATTGGAAAAAAGGGTTCTAAGACTACAAAGGATTTCAGAAAGCCCTAGATTAGAGTTCCTCCAGATTTCTTCCAAAGCCACCTCTGTGTGGTTCTTTTTGGATGCACGTTGGTTCAGAGAAGTCAGATTTTGCAGAGGCTGAGGGAGCTCAGGTGTGAGCTGTCGGTGAGACAGGAAATTTTGTGCCACTTTGCAGTGGGGACACCATGAGGGACACAGCAGTCGTGGAGCAGGTTTGCAAGGCAAGAATCTGCTGCTCGAGCAGTTCTTGGGCCATTGACTGAAATCACACAGGAGAGTAAAAGCTACTGAAATCATACGGGATCCTAATAGCTGATCATGGGACAATGGTATGAGGAATAGGATCCAGAGGGTGGCACAGGGACAAAATTTGACAAGGGACAGGGAAGGAGACATTGTGACCATGTGTATGATGTTATCACCAGCAGAGTTATCCCAAGACCTCCATGGAGACAGTCACGTAATCATGTCAACAGCAGCCTAGGCGTCCCCGGGCCTGCCTCGTGATACGAGCTAGCCTTCTAGGTAGTCAAGGAATGTTCTGCTGTATTTGTGGATGCAAAGAGGTCACAGTCGCCCATAAGTGGTCAGCTCATCAGAACCCACAAGCTGTTTGTTAGCAGCAGAAGCAAAGCTTACCTGTTATTCTGCCCACCGTGCCCTTCACAAAGTTGCCAGCGTACCCAGCCACGTGAGCTCCAAGGCTGTAGCCGATCAAGTGAACATTTCCGAGAGAAAAATTACCCTTCTCCTGCAAGAAGTCACAGAAGTGTGTGCGTGGAGTTGCAGTCCTATAAATTCACCCATGTGCATACTGACTTCATGTGCTCAACGTCGGTGAGCAGTATTGCAATATAAGGGCTGATTACAGGCCTGAGCCATGGCCGGCACATATGCTAAAAAAAAGAGGTGTGGTCCTGAGCCCACAGGGTCACCCACAGTTCAGTCACAGCAAGGAGGAGACACCAGAACTGGAGGGAGGGACTTCCTGGCAACACAACGGGGTGAGGCATAGCCAGGCAAGGGGCAGTCAAGAGGACTTGGTGGCATTTCAAATGTAAGTGCCAGCAGCAGGGTGGTGAGTGTAGTAGAAGTTGCACACCTGACCCTTCCCTATGTTTCTGGCATAGGGAAACAAACAGGGTAGAGGTCAAAGCCACCAACTCATTGAAGGCTCAGTGCCAAGCACAGCCTACAGTGGTGCATTCCTTGCCCACCCTCTCACACCCCAGGAGCTGCTAAGGTCCACACCACCAGCCCATCTGGGACCCCAGAGTGGAAGCAAAGTGTCCTGAGAGCAGGTGGGAATTTGGTCCTGTGGCTCAGGAAGCGAGGTCTACAGAACAACCTCACTAGGGGCCTCCCTGGTGGTGCAGGGGTCAGGTCTCAGTGCTGTCACCACCATCACCACCACCACGGCACAGCAGACCTCTCCTGTCTCTCCCATTGCTCCCTCAGCAGAATTTCAGTAAAACTGCCTGTTCTGCTCCCCACTCTGTCTCTGGTGAATCCCTCACACACCCCTGCACCTCTGGTCTATATGCCAGTTCTTCTATGCATAAATAAA